CCGCCACACACACACACACACACACACACACACACACACACACACGAGCCGCAGCCGAGGCCGGGAGGAGATCTGCCCCACACGAGTCACGGCCGGCGGTCGCGCCCGTGGCGCCCTCCCGCCCGGCAGCCCCCGAATAAAAAGGCCCCCCAGGCCCCGGGCGGGCTCCGGGCCCGGCTCGAGAGAGAAGACCCTTCCCCCCTCCCCCTCCCGCACCCCCCTGCACCTGCAGTCTTCGCGCCCCGACATGCTCACGCAGACCCTCCTCCGCCCTCGGCTCATGTCGGCCCTCGCCGCCGGCCCGCGCCTCGCCGCCGCCGCCGCCTACTCCACCGCCACCGCCACCGGTGATCTGGCCCCGCGCAAGGTCCTGATCACCGGGTCCCTTGGCCAGCTGGGCGCCGTGCTGGCCTCCTGCTTCCGCGGCCACTTTGGCGCGGAGAACGTCATCACCTCTGACATCCGCCGGCCGGCTGCCGGCGGCGGGGAGGTGGCCCTGGCCGCGGCCAACGACGGCCCCTTCGTCTTCCTGGATGTGCGCGACCGCGCGTCCGTCGAGAAGGTTGTCGTCGAGAACAAGGTCGACACCATCATCCACCTGAGCGCCCTGCTCAGCGCCATCGGCGAGCGTGAGCCCCAGCGCGCCCTCGATGTCAACATCAATGGCCTGCACAACATCCTGGAGATTGCCCGCGTTCACAATGCCTCGGTCTTCTGCCCGAGCACCATCGGCGCCTTCGGGCCCTCGGTACGCATGCAATCTCCCCTCCTCTGTGTCTCCCCCTCCTTCCTTCTCCTCCCTCCTCGCGGGCAGGCAGGCCGCCGGCCGCGCCCTGGCCATGCTCCGGCTCGTGTGTATGCCCCCCACTGACCTTTGGCGCCTGACGTGTGTGTGGGGTGGGGGAAAAAAAAAAACCAAAAAAAAAAAAAACAACGGCGTGGTCCTGTGCCGTGGTGCCCTGCGGCCATAGACCCCGGTCGACCAGACCCCCGACCTGACCATCATGCGCCCGACCACCATCTACGGCATCTCCAAGGTCCATATGGAGCTTCTCGGTGAGGTGTGTTCTCCCTTGGCCCGGCCTGCCCGTGGCGCATTCCCCCGGCCTCCCCCATGGTGTCCCCTCCCAAACACATGCGCATGCCATTGACCGTGTGTTCCTGTGCCTGCTGTGCCGGCCCCACTCCCCGCCCGGCGGCAGTACTACGCCAACCGCTACGGCGTGGACTTCCGCTCGGTCCGCTACCCGGGCATCATTTCGGCCGACGAGCCCGGCGGTGGCACTACCGGTACGCACCGGTGCATGTGCGCGCGCTCGGCGCCCTGAAAAGCGCATCCACTCACACTCCCACGCCCCCATGCATGGCCATCACCTCTGCCCAGATTACGCCATCGACATTTTCCATCATGCCCTCAAGACCGGGACATACAACTGCTTCCTGCACGAGAACACTCGTCTGCCGATGATGTACATTGATGACTGCATCGAGGGGACTTTCAAGGTGCGTGCCTAGGCCCATGCATTCGGCTGCATGCCTTTTGTGTTGCGTGTGTGTGGCTGTGGCTGTGGCTGTGGCTGTGGCTGTTGTTCCCTTTTCCCCTCTTCTGACCCCTCCTCTCCCGCTTATACACACGCACATGCACACGCCGCTCCACACCGGGCCACAGTTCATCACTGCCCCTCGGGAGAAGCTCACTCAGTCCACCTACAACATGGGTGCCATCGACTTCACCCCGGCCGAGCTGACTTCCTCCATGCAGCGTCACATGCCGAACCTCGTGCGTGCCACCCAACCCCCCCCCCCCCCCCGACCGCGGCCCAACCGGCCTCTGCCCGTCTCCCTCCGGGCTTTTGCCATGGCAGTCCCTCTGACCTGTGTTGCCGTCCCCCTGCATCCCTCCTTCCACCCTCTTTTGCCCCTTGCAGTCGGTCTCCTATTCGCCGGACTTCCGCCAGAAGATCGCCGACTCCTGGCCCAACTCCCTGGATGACTCGTCCGCTCGCAAGGACTGGGTGCGTGAAACTGCCGCCTTCCCCGTCGCTCGCCTGCCATCCATGTGTGCCCATGGCATGGCCCGCCGGTGCACTGACACATACATCCGTCAATGCGTACATGCATCTGCCCACTCGCCGGATCCCATGTCTCCTCCCCTCCCCGTGCTGGCACCCAGGGCTGGGACCCGAAGTTCGACCTTGATTCCATGGTGGATGTCATGTTCAAGAACTTGAAGAAGTAGTCGCCCAGGTGCTGGATTCCCCCATTGCTCGCGCGCTGTGACAGGCTGGTGATTGCCCCTGTCGCCGGCATGTGCCTGGTCTTTGCGCAGGAGGCGGCGAGGTGAGACCCCCCCCCCTCTCCCCCCACGCGAAGGCGGCCACCGCATCCTATGCCTCCCTCCTGACACCCTTTGCGAGGACCGGCGAGAGGCAGCAAAAGGCACAGGTCGCCTCATGTGCCAGGGTCGCGGCGCACCGTGTGATCGACACATAGAATAGAGATCACCACGAGAGAAGGAGCAAAACATATCCGACCGAGTGTGCCAGCCGGTCTGGTGGTGGTCTGCACACGCGCATATCGGCGAATCAAGAAGCTTGTATTTTTACCCTGCCTCTCCTCCACAGGGCGTGTGTCGAGCCAGGCGGAGAGCCGGCCCAGGCAGAGAGAACTCGCACCCACACGAAGTAGACAAGAGAGGGGGAGAGAATGAGAGAGAGAGAGAGAGAGACATAGA